ATCTCACCCGGTATCGACTTTGTTCTGCTCCCAATCCAGGTGCTCCGGCATGTTGCTCCCCAGAATCAGCAGGTGCTTTGGCGGGACGGCGTCTTTCAGCTCCTCACAGCTCTGGATGGGCACTTCCTTCCTGCTCTCAAATGGACAGAACGGGCGGGCCACACGCACCTCATAGCTGTCCTCTAAATTAAAAGCACAGAAGGGCAGCTCCATTGTTGCAGCCGCAGTGTTCTCCTCTCCAGAAGAAACGTTGTGCGAGGCTGGGGTCTGAGGTAGGACCTTGACCTGGGTCTGCAGAAAAGGTTTGTAGGACTCAGAGTCTTGCGGAGCTGATGAACGACGCTTATATGTAAAGTGTCAGCTCGATTGGCTGAAAACAAAACAGATTCAATGGTAGCATCAGAAGTCAGCCTCCATAAGTTCAATGCAAAAGAGAGTGCGCTGGCTAAGAGCAAAACTTTGTACTTGTGTCGACCACAAGCTCAAGGAAAGCAAGAGCCTTTTTGTGCAACACCAGAGGTATGAACAAGAATACTCTGTTATATGCCAGGACCTTTTAGGCAACCTAGGAAGATACCGTGAGAGCATAAGCTACTGCAATGCTCAGATTCTTGAAGTTTGCAAATCTCATGATCACATCTTGAAAATGTTGTTGGCAAGTGAAGTTGGATGGACTCACACTCCAGGGAGCCACGCCGTATTCGCCCTCAAGCATAGGCCCTACATTGAAGTCCTACTCCTCAATCTTCTCTGTCTCAAAGACCTGAAACAACTTCTTGGTTTCAGGGTCTACACCTCGATCTTGGACAGTGGCCCTCTCCATCTTAAAGCTAAATTGGCGCTTATCAGGACTCAAATATCGTTCGTTGAGGACCAGAAACCGCCTGCGGACGCCTTTATCTCCAGGATCACCATCTCTGAAAGTGTTTGCTAGCTGTGCCGCACCTTTCTTCTCCTTCCTCTCGATGATCTCCTGAACCTGCTGAGCGATTGTGGCTTGCTGCGAAGGGCCTTGCCGAATTGAACGCCCAGTACTTGAAGCATTAGCTAGGCCGACTAGAGTGGGCGCATCAACAATTAGCCCGCTGGCGCCGCGTACGCCACTTTGCTGGGGTTGAGGGCCAGCCGCATCTGCAGAGTGACATCGAGAAGTATGAAACTGATGGTGATAACCTCTCCATGTCTTGTTTCCCAGAACTTCAACAACAAATCTTAATACTATTTGCCTGGCGTACTCAGAACTACCAGAATCATAATATTCGATTGTGACTCTATCTATAGTAGTACTTGGAAGTCAGCTTGCATCAACGCTCGCAATCATCCTCTGCAGCTACTCACCTGGACGCAAGGGTGAATCAAGTGTGCGCAGGCAGGTACCTCTCACCTTCTTTTGGCTGGAAAATCTTGTTGATGATCCTCCCATCCTGCTTCCCAGCATACAGGTTGGTCAAGTCTGCTAGGCCTTTCTTGACAATGAAGTACCAAACTATGTTGTGCAGCAGCCAGAGCTTTATGCCGTGGTCCTCCTTGGCAGGAGACTCTAGGTTAGCTATTTTGAACATTGGACTGTTCAACAGAGTCTCAAAGTAGTGCCTTGCAGAAACATCGGAGCGTTTTTTCAAAGGGGAAGTAGTTTCCACTCCTGTGTCCTCATTAGCCTGAGAGAGAGCTGTCCGGACAGCAGGGGTGGAGATCCCGGACTGGCTTGAAAAGCCCCCATGACTAAAGGAAGCTCTTGGCTGCAACGGAACCGCCGCCGCCACACGGCTTGCTTGAAACATGCTTTCTGCTGCCTACGTGCATGTATCTCACTAGAAGCTGATTGTGCACACCTGCTCTGTGCTTGGGAGGGCAGATGGCGGATCACCTCAGATCTCCCTTCAAAGCGCCATGCTTTCTGCACTACAGCTGCGTCCACACTGATCATGATGCATACGGTAACTTAGGTACGGTATCAGGCTCTTCAGATTCAAATCAGCAGCCCGCCAAAACCAGCTTCCAGGCGAGCTTCGATTCGAAAGCATCACAGGGCTATGTAGTACCCCGTGTCAAGAACGATGTCGAAAAAGGGTGCGCAATTTGTCACGGATTGCAGAAGTGAATCGGATTGCCACGATGCAAGAAATCTGTTACGGACCGTAAGACTACCGTAAGGAAATGGTACGCCGGTTTCCTCTGAGATTGTTGCGAGCATGGTCACAAGCCGACTCAAACCGGTCACGGCAAAATTTGGTCGGCGCGACGGCGACGTAACGCACCGTGCTCAAATTTGTGACCGGATTTTATCGCTTTCGATACGGCCGAAACCCACCCTAGGTAGCTTGTGTATGCGATGCCTGGGCGGGCCTATAGTATGTACCGTATGTGGCTAACAAGCCTGTATACTCAAGTTTCCGGAGCTAGAATTCTGTATAATTAATTGTGCAGCATGCTGCCAGCTATAGGCACTCTAACTTTCGATCGATCGCTGATGGCGCCAGCCCGACACCTGCTTGTAGCCTAGCTTGAAGAAGTCCTGAACATTGCATGACAGTGCGGTCCGGTTCGGCCAGGTCCGGGTGGCGACCATATGCCGGGCTGCAGCTTTAGGCATATACTAATAGGCCCGCTTGCACGAGCGTAAGACGCGCTACACTGTACACTAAGCTATACGCACATGTGCATCTCGTGACATCCAGCGAGTTGCTCGCCGATGGAAAAATATTGACCATGTATCTTGTAGCCTAAGCAAAGATCCCATTGCACTAGTTTACCCATTGCAACTTTCAGGCCAGTGAGGCCGGCATCTTCTCGAAACCAAGAATGAAGACGGGCTCTTCGTCAATCATTCCCGTAGCGAGGACTCGTGCCAACTGCATCCAAATACAACCTTGAACATGCTTTGTCGAGCAGCTAGACCACTGCTACACACCAGTTCAATTTGGATTCCACCTACCCCACCTGATGCCCTATATTCTTTTGAGTGTAAGGTACATACCTCAGTCATCGTCGTCAAAGACGCTTCTCCGTTGTATCTGCAAACAAAGTGCTTCTGTGCATGAAGCAATCCACTGAAGCGCTTTCGAACGTTTGAGCCTACGAACTAGCCCATGACGAGGTCTTTAACTAGCCGTTTCAATGGCCCACGACTCACGTCTGCAATGTTATGACCACAAAAGCATCCTGGATCTCCAACCGGAAGTGTGTAAGAGTCAAAATAATGGATGACGTAGGAGCGAAGCAGTTGAAACGAAAAAAAATGTGCGTATGAGGCAACTGACGGTACAAACAGATATCGAAAGTCAAGTCCTTACTGTGACCTTTGTACGGGTTTGCTGCTGCTCATTGATCTGCTCCAGGAGGGAGATCAATCGGTCCTCGGTCACCTGCATCAACGGCCAATCTTTGTCAAAGGTTGGATGATTCCTCGCCTTCCAAACGTGAGGAGGCCTGGCGTATCGGCCTGAGCGTCCGCTGATACACTGGCCCGTCGAGAACACGCCTTTGGAAACGCACTGGAGGTCGGGACCAGTTCGTCGCTGGTCCACCCTGTCCTGGAACCTCTGCCAAATCCAGACTGCGCATCTGTGAAAGCATCTCGAACGTTGCGACGACCGCTGCGTTCCTGTTAACCCCTTTCGAGCTGGGTCAAACAAAAACACCCTTTAAACAGGCAAGCGAGTCAGTGGCCTTATCTTGTTACATTCCTGACTGTAGAACTTTTGTTCCTTCCAGCAGCACCCAGTGTTCCTGATTTTGTTTTCGAAAGTACTTCGGCTACTAGCGCCGGCTTTTGATGCAAGTGGTGCATCGCCTGCCAGTCACCTCGCGTCTACTACAAAGAGTGGCCTGCAACTTCAAGATATCAACACCACAGAGGAAAACCCAGAGTGACACGCAGCACCACAAGCGATGGCAGGGGGTAGCTGCGGAGCGCGACTTTCCGCAGCGGCATACCTTTTCAGTGATCTGTCCCATTTGCGCCATCCGGATGACGAGGTCCTCCACGCCGCGCGCTTTGTCTGGCTTCACCAGGGCGATGCGGGCAACTGGAGGGGGGAAGGTGAGGAAGAGTCGGGGGGGGGAAGAACCAACAGAGCTCGCCTTTGTAGGACCATGGCCGGCTCTTACAACCGATCGCTGAAGCGACCCCAGTGAGTTGAATTGATAGACAGCACACGCCATGAGGACTCCTCCATCCATGGCTTGATAAAGATAAGAACGGCTGAACGAGAACTTTCTAAAGAAGAGCAGTTCAGTCTACTCGGCTGGAAAAAAGTGAAATTGCAATGTAAGAGGTACTGCAAACGATACTCAATGTAGCCAGCCTGGTACTACCATCTCAAGTGTCAAGAAGTCCCACTTGCAATAACTTTATGCACTGGGAACTAACACATCCAGCAAACAAGTACACGAGAGACCCAAACCCGTGGAAGAGTTGGAACGAGACTCTTTTCCAGATTCTCCACATTGTCAACTCTCAGGAAAAGTACGGCCCGAAGTTCGACCAGCAAAGCAGAGACCAAAGACAACCTGCCACAAGGACAGATATATCAAGTGTCAAGTGTGGGGTCCACTTACGGCGCGCTCTCGCTTCAGGGGACATGATCTGGGCCAGCATAGCCTGCCGCCGCTCCTCCTGCTCCCTGCACGCAACGCAGGATGCTCTCAAGATTAGCAAAGCTGTCGCAGCGTGCAAGACCGCACTTGGCTTACGCTTTGCAGACATGACCTAGACAAAGACAGTGGGGCGGGCTCGTGACAAGGTTGGTCGCTGTCTGCCCCCCTCGGTGGTGAAGTAGGGCGACACCTGATCGCGCGTCCAAAAACACGCCAAAAGGTCTAGAACCCACCAGATCAACGATAAGGAAATCATGTGCTCGGAAAGGCTGCGCTTTGTTTCCCTCTTTGCTGCGCAAGGCACCCCCGGAACAATCACCGGGCAACAGGCGTCCGCGAAGGAAGAGCTATCTTGACTACCCCCAAAGCTTGAAACACAAGGAGACGCCATGCTCTCCCAGCCTGTTCCGCCCCTCACCTCTGCTGTTCCTCTGCTGCGCGCTGCTTCTCTGCAGTGGCCCCCCCGCCGCCGCCGCCGCGCTGCGCCATCATCTCTGCCATGCGCCGCTTCCGCAGGGCTTCTAGTTCCGGGTCATCATCCTGCATAGCAGGCGCACCAAGAATTGAGTGCACACGAATGGGCGCCGGGCATCAGCAGAACACTGTGGCATCAACATTTGAAGGCAACAAATGTTGCCCAAGACCTCAACATCCTTGATCCACTCCAAAATGTCCTGCAGTGTGAGTGATATGGCGCTGGGACCTCTTTTGCCAGTAATTACTCCCATCGCATTCCCATACGAAAGGAGCGGGCGGAGGAGTTGATGCTTCTGCGCCACCCCACTCCCAGTTGCACGGAAGTGGTCCGAACAAGAAAACAGGCTTGACAGAAAGAGGTTGATGTATGCAAGCAAAAGGCCAACAACAAAAGATGATGTCTTCTTCAAACCTTTGTCTCATCTGTGGCCAGGGGTCCTTACAGAATTCAAATTCCTTCAAAGGAGAATTGGCCATGTCCCCTTCATACAGGCAGCTTGATAACATCTTTATTAGCGATTGATTGAGTCCATGGATGCCAGCGCCTGGGCATGTCTCCAGATGCAATGGGTGAAGCAACTGAGACTGGCATCGGCGTCAGCTGGACAAGAAGGGGAAGCTGCTACCAGACGCTTGCGCGCTCAAGCAAACCCGAAGCTTGCTACGGAGTGTTACAACCGACAGTGCACTTACCATGATGCTCAAGTTTTGTTGGAGCTTTCCTTGCTGCTTCTGAGCTTCCTTGTTTGTCCCTCAAGCTTGCCCTGCCCTTATCCCGGCAGCTGTTGGAATCCAATCCCTGTCCCGCCCCCTTGCACGGTCACAATGTGTAACTTCTTGGGCTCGGGCCTCCCCTGGCGCTTGCGCAGCAGCCTTAGGATGTTCTGCGTGACCTTGATGGTGCGCTGCGTCAGAAACGTGGACCACAGCAGGGCTGCGAGAACAAAGACGATGATTGTGACCCGAAACACCAGGTGCCGTCGAGTCATCTCCAACCACGGACAGCGCTGCACTCCCTGGATGCAGGAGAGCCCGCAACTGAACCAAGCAAGGTCATGGCGAGAAGAGTTTCCAAGGACAACAGATGTCTAGGCCCTAGGCCCCGAGGCTGAGGAGACGCGCTGCAATCTGCAAACGTGAGAACCGCCCAGCTGAACATGCGGGAAAATTTGCCGTTGTGGCGAGCCCATTTTTGACAGCCCTAACTTGAGCAGTCTGGCCCGGACTTTTCGCAAAACTTGGGTAATGAAGAGCGGTTTCGCAAGTGCCGTCTAAACCGCCGGTTTTGCGACGGCGGCCCTGATGCGGGCTGATAAGTGCTGGCCGGCCTGTTTCCACTCGTTCGAAACGAAGAAACGTCATCAGGCTGGAAGATCGCGAGCCACCGTTTGGCAAACCCAATTTTGAACCCATCAAAATGCTCCAGATGACATCCTGTTCGCCAGCAAGCCAAATGAAGTTCGGTATTAAGTTTGGGCCACTCACAGGACGCCACGTCATCCCCCTGGAAACTCAAATGTCTGATGTTGTGCGGGACGGTCGTACCGAGGGTCGAAACCTGAAGTCGGAGCCGGTACGGACCCAAGTGGTACCAATCCGTTTACCGGGCACTTGGAAGCAATGTACCCTAAGAAGGTTACTTAGGGAGAAAATATTTTCTTCTCCAAAATGTCAATTACAAAGTACAATGGCCTTATATACATACATATTGGCAATTGGATCCTTTTCCCCCTCGGAAAAGGGGCGATTCTGGGCGATTCTGGCCGTCCAGATAAGCCTGAACTTCATTTGGTAGGCCCCTGTTTCGCGTGTCTTGTCTATCCAATCCCAACAGAGAGCCAAGGTGCCAGCTAATGATGCAGCTCGGCCCGTATCGGTATCGACGGTCTTCTGTCATCCCATCGAAAGACGCGTTCGCCATACACCGTCCGATCACACTCTAGTTTCAGTGACCCGTCGATCCCAAGGAGCAATAATCGACGGCTCTAAAAGCCACTCCTGGGCTGTCCCCCGGGCACCCTCCCCCGACCGCTGCGGGGCCCAATTATCTAGAATAGTTCTCGCGATTCTAAGGTCCAACAATTCAGTGCCCTCTGATCATGCCGTTGCCAAAGCATTCTAAAGAGAATCAGTCCTTTCGTATTAGAACCGGGCCTACGGTTACTGATTCTCAATGCTAGCCTAAGTCCAAGGTCAGAATATTTTTGCTATTAAGATTGGCCTGGAAACAATCGCAAGGTTGACACTGAGTCTCGCCCAGTGTCCCGGAGCGAGAGGCCAGCGTCTCTGCTACCGGGGTCGCGCTGCTTGGTGCAGGCTCCAGGTTCCCAAGAGTGTCAATCTTACGTGCAATCCCCGAGCACCTCAGTGCTCCCTACGACAGGTTACACTGTCGTAGCAGCCCCATGCCTTTGATGGGTACGGGCTTATGAGAAGAGAACATGCATCAAGCGCTACCCAGCGCCTCATCTCTTTCCAACGCCCTCGCTTGCTTGTCTTGATGGTGCTCGCCCGCACTGGGCTGCGCCGCCTGCCTGCTCCCCTGCTGTGCGGAGTCATGGCGCTGCACGCCTCCTCCTTGGCGGCACGCCCAGCTCTACTTCCATCAGCTGTTGCTGCGAGCCCGGTGCATGCATGCAGCTCTGCTCGCCAGTGCTGCTGGCAACCTGTTGGCTTCCTGACACAGCCTGCACTGCCTCAGGTGAAGCTGCGCTCCTTGTAGCATTGAAACCCACTGGTCAGGAAGTTTCAGCCAGCTGCCAGTGAAGTCCTCGCAGTGTTCTGGCCTCAGCATTGATTGGTTTGGGAACTCAGAGAACGACCACCAATCAACATTGAATTGACACGCTGCGCTGTGAAACTCAAAGGCACCCCGTTGCAACCAGATAATTCCCCAAAATGTACAATCAGCAGCCCTCGATCTGCATATCCATGCTTTGGTGGAGCTACGGCGTCACATTTCAGCTCTGTTTCTGACCACAAATTGTATGCAGCAAAGTCCTCGTCCTGGTGTGCAGGCCCCCCTGTGTTTGGCCCATGCTGCCCCCCACTCTGCAGGCCCTGGCTTGAGAGACACCAAGCTGTCCCCCCGCCTGGGCAACAGCTTGTGGGGCGCCAGGATGCAGGCTGGCAGCAGTGGCGGCGCGCACGCTGTGCGGCGCAGCAGTGGGGCCAGCGCGTCCACCAGCACCGCGCAGCTCAGCATTGAGCTGGTAAGGCCACGCAACCGACAAAGATGTCGTATGGCCAATCGATCCCCAGGTGGGATGGACGCTGGTCCAATTGCAGGAAAGTTGAAAGAACCACCCCGTTGGTGGTTTGTGCGAACTGGCGTCTCTCTCCAGATACAAGCATATTCCCCTCAAAGAGGTAGCGGTGTCACATTGCTATTGCCAGGGGCCCCAACGACTCTGGTCACCCTGACAAGTATGTTGCCGAGGCGGGCTGCATTGGTTCAAACACTCCCTTTCTGGTAGAGGCAACATCAAGGAAGTTGGCTGAGCGGTGGTGACGCCTTGGTTAAAGATTTTTTTGTAGTCCCACACTCTTGAGAGATCAGTAGCGATGAAAGTGCGTTGTGTCATGCTTGGGTGTCCAATTCACAATTGTCGCCCCAGGCAGGCTGTTCTAAATCACACGTCACAAAGAGTAGGAGATCTGGGGCCTCTTTGCCTCATCAATCTTTTGCCCCCCTGACCGGCGCCACCGTTCTGAAGCCCCTTCCTCTGTTAAGTAAGAGTAACGAGATGACCAGCCACTTCGCAAGCAGTCAGCCATGTTCCAGTTAGTCTATTGCGCTGCACAAGAGACGGCATTCAACACCTTTTGGATAGCCTCCGATCAAGCTTATCAAGAAAGTCGAAGAGGTCACTTGTGTTCCAAGGTGCTGCCGCTCCTTTCTCTGTTGTTCAGGAGCCACCTATCAGGGCCAGTAGGAGAGGTTGACAAGCTGGCTTTTGATCCTTCCTTGCGAACTTCCTTGCAGACATTCTCGCCCACGTTCCCCTGCTTTGGCAGGTACCGTGTCTGTCGGACAACTACGCCTACTTGTTGCACGACGCGGCCGCGGGCGTGACTGCGGTGGTGGACCCCTCGGAGGCCGCGCCGGTGCGGGCGGCCCTGCGTGCGCGGCAGCTGCAGCTGACGCACATCCTCAACACGCACCACCACTGGTGAGGCGCCCCCCACGGCAGGGCCAGCTGCCTGGACCAGCTCTTGCCTCACCATTCTGCTCCTCCTGGTGAAGTCACGAAGGGTTGGAAGACGGGTGAAAGAGATTTCGAAGAAGTAGGCGGTGTTCAGAACAGGGGAACAGGGCCCGGCGAAAAGAGCAAGGTTTGTCAGCTCTGGAAGCGAGCTGTCCAACCATTTCGATGAGCCGCTAGAGATAAGGCCACGGAGTCTCGTTCAGAAAGAAGTCTTATATTCAAGATGAGAGTGACCATTCCGATGGCCTATGAGACCTTCCAACACACAGCTCAGCTTGACGCGTTTTACTCTGTGCAGGGACCACACGGGGGGGAACCTGGAACTGAAAAAGGAGTTTGGGGCACAGGTGAGTTTACAGCCCGCTGCTTGACAAAGCGCTTCTTGATCCAGTTAATGGCGAATTTTCAAGCCGCAACTTGCCCGCTTCAATGTGGGTGCCACGATATGAGCTCGGTTCAAACATCGTCTTCAAGAGGATCAAGCTATTCCTCTGTTACTTTAGTTCGACCTACAGCGGTTGAATCAAGGCCGAAGCGTCGAGTTTGCCGCTGCCGATTGCTTGCTTTGTCAGAACCGTTCGTATCAAAAGTGTGCAGCCGCCAAGGTACTTTCGCTGTGGATTCTAGGGTCAATCGTGTCCTGTTTCGACCTCCCAGGTTGTGGGACCTGCAGCAGACAAGCAGCGGATACCAGGGATCGACGTAGCGCTAGCAGAGGGGGACACGTGGCAATTTGGCGGGCACGAGATGCACGTCTTCGACACGCCTGGTCACACTCGAGGTGCGCCAGCGTCGGCCCTGCGTCAGGCATCCGCTCAGTGCACAAAAGCTTGCTTTGGCAGAATCAATAAACTGCTCCTTCAAAGGGCTGTTCTGGTTTTGCAAACATTTGCAGCATGTCTGTTCTGACGCACAGTACTGGAGGCTGTGATAGGCCTGTGTGTGGCAGTAGGTGGTCAGTGCGCCGTCGTCCTGGCCCGTTGAAGGCCAATCTCAACTTGCTCTGGAGTTCTATTTGTCTTCGCTTGATGGACCGGAGCCGAGAAGAAAGGCAGGTCGCATCGGCTGTTGCTCGAAACGCCCTCTCCCATTGCTTGACGCCAGCTCGTGTCTTTGCTGTGGCCCAGGGCACGTCAGCTTCTACTTCCCAGGCAGCGAGGCCCTGTTCACGGGCGACACGCTCTTCAGCCTGGGCTGCGGCAAGCTGTTCGAGGGCACGCCCCAGCAGGTCACCGGGGCCCCCTTCTCTCCTCCGACCGCACTGGCTATCAGGGCTCCTACGCCTTTCTTGAGGAGGACCCGCCATAACGAAACCTGATGCAAGATGCAGGAGTCACGTGTCGTCTGTCCTCGGTGATTCTGGCGATCTTGACGATCTAGAATTTCAGAACGATTTGCAATTGGTCGAAAGGCAGGTTCGAGTTGCTTGCTGCACTGATCCTGGCAGACCGCCGAAGTCACTTCTCCCAGCGGCCAGACGTTCCCCGGGCCGCCGCTCATTGTTGTTGCATTGCGGCTGCAGATGTGGGCGAGCCTGTCCAAGCTGGCGGCGCTGCCGGCGGCCACCAGGGTCTACTGCGGGTGAGCGCGACGCAGCTGCGGGAAACCGCGCCCTTGAGAGGTGCCGGATTGTCTTCAAATCATGGAAGGGGTTTCAGCTGTTCAATTCTCGGGCCCAGACTCTATGTGTCTGAAAACTGTCGGCCCTCAAAATCTATCTTGTGGCCGACTCCACGATTGGCAGCCTCGGTTCGCGTTTCAGATGTGCTCTGATCCCTCGGAAATCTAGGATGCACACCGTTGTTTCTACTGTGCCGGGATCGAAGTCAGGCAGGGGTCTGTCAATAGACCCGAGGATCAGCGGGGGGTACTTGCTGCCAAATTTCCGTTGCTCACTTTCATATGCAGACCTTTTAAGTGGCTCCCCGGTCAACCTGATTGCAGCTGCGGTTTTCGTCAACGTCTCTTTAGAAGCCTCCCTGTAACTGTAGCCAGTGTTTGGCCACATTATCTCCCTGGTAAAGGCGGCAGATTTTCCCTTCAGAAGCGAACACGTGTCACGGCTTCGGCGATAAAGGACCGGCTTTGCTGACTGTGGGGCCCTGTTGTGGGTGCAGGCACGAGTACACGCAGTCCAATGCGCGGTTTGCGTGGGCAGTCGAGAGTGGCAACGAGCGGCTCGCGCAGCGGAGCGACGAGATCGCGCGGCTCCGGAGTGAACGGAAGCCCACGGTGAGGTGCTTTACGTAGTCAGCATGCCACGGCAGCAGCGCAGCCCGGCCTTGCCTGGCTGCTGGCTGTGCGCTTGCATTTGAGTGGCCGTTGTTGGCTGCAGATTAGCGAAGCGACAATTTTTCTGTCAGCGGCATAGGTCGATCTCCTTGCCCTGCACACTTGGTGCTGCTTCTATGCCTCATGTGCACTCTAATGGTTGCCAGTGGGGGGTCCGGTCCTGCGAGCGGCTTCAAAGCGAAGTAGTGCTTGGAGAACGAGCAGGACCGACAGTTCCCTAAAACCGCGTGCACGGATCTGTGGAGAAGTTACATTCTGCTGAAACACTCTCCTTTTTTCGGCTTCAATCAATCTCAGAGTAAGAGACAGTTTTGTCGAAGGTGGTCTGACGGGTCCCGTGGTCCCCTCTTCTGTGCAGATCCCGACGACTCTGGGCCTTGAGTTGGCCACCAATCCGTTCCTCCGGCCCTCCAGCCAGGAGATCCGAGAGGCGGTCCGAGCCAAGCCGGATGCGTCCGACGCTGAAGTCTTTGCTGCTATCCGGCGCAAAAAGGATTCGTTCTAGTTCTGGTCTAAAGTCGCAAGCACTTTGAAAAACGCTGGACACGTGCATCGTGTCAGATCCACCGGTGTGGCATGACCCCTCCCGGTAACAGTCCCGGTAGAAGAGCAACAAAAGTACTTGGAGACAAGGAGCGCGTAGGAAAAAGCTCATAAGTCCACGAATGAAACGGTACAACCAACAGGATTGTAACTATCAGTCTTAGTTGCACGCTACAACCGATTCTGGAAAGAATTCCAGTCTGCAATCGACACTGTTGTCCTATTGAAAGGAGTTGGATCCCTGCTCTTCCACTGTACACAAACGGAGTGGCTGGCTCGAATTGTTACTTTCAAACTCGATGCTTTACCTTTCGTGGATGATCTTTCCCATAGAGCCTTCTTGAACCGACTCCCGACAAGCTAACGGTCTAACGGTTTCTCCGAGCCGGCCCACTCTCTTCTGACGGCCAAGACGGGATGCCGCGGGCCCGGCGGGGCGCCAGAAGGTGACCAGCCGTCGACTTCCGGCAAAATTCGTCCATGCAGAACCCAAGACCTCCCTACGGTACCTGGAACAGAAGGTGAGTACGCACCGTGCACAGCAACTTACGGTTGCCGCCATGCCGGTGACTCGCGAGTCTGGTTAAGCGGCCGCCGCCTTTGGACAAGGTCGGCATATGACTCATACGGGTTTGTATCTTGAGGGCTCAAAACTGGGTACTCCGCCTTTCATATGATCGGCCTATTAAAGGAAGTACCGTAGGGCTTCCTAGCTGCTTTACGTTTACCTAGGTACGTACACGTCTTTAGCTTCGGGCCAGCCCGGAGCCGTACTGTATATGCCCTCTCGTAAGTTGTAACAGGCCGCCGCTTTCAACCGGGTACTTCTGGTTCAGTCGGATCTGCATACGGAGAGTTTTGGTTCGCCCCGCTCTGAGCGGTGGCCGACTTTCGCGCCGGACCGTACGGTCACTGGCGGTCCCACGGTCGGTTCCTTTTGCGGACCTCTCGATCCAATCATTATCTGACAACACCGGGCACCTGTGCCCCAAATCAAATCCAGCATTGAGTCGGGGGATGTCGTGCTATGTCGTGCGATGAAATGCGCATACCCGCGAATCTGAGCACTCCCGCAAAGGTGGTCGGGGCATTGCGTGCGTACGGCCGCTCACCAATCTTCTTGGCGGCTTCCATGTGGCATCTGTTTGCGGGAGTCCGCGATCAATGCAGCTGAAGTATTCGTTGCTATACCGTCGGCGTAGGTAGTACAATCAAAGGGAGCGGCTGGTCAACCTCCAGTCGCATCCGGAGGTGACGGCCGGAGCGATTGCAGGTACCGTACCATTAAGTGCAAAGGCTTGTTCGAAAGGGATTGCTTCTCGAACGGCCGGTTCAGGGGAAACGTCTCAGGCTATCTTTCTGTTTCTGTTTGCCTTTTCACGTCTAGCATCTCTGGATTCGTCACCATTGTCCCATTGAAAAAGAATACGTTGGAGGGGACTCCCATGGCTGCCGTGAAGGCAGCCCAACCTTCCCCTGGTATGTACTGCAGTCCTTGTTGACTTGTGTTGAGTGGCTTAGCTGAGCTCCGGGCATCAGTCAGACCATTACTTCGGTGCAGAACGCTGGAGAAGCGGCACTGTGCAGCCTTGCAAATCCAGCGGGTAGCAACCATCAGCTGCCATGAGGGTTTTAGGGTTTTAGGGTTTTAGGGTTTTAGGGTTTTAGGGTTTTAGGGTTTTAGGGTTTTAGGG